TAAAGGGGATTGATGGTGCGGTTTCCAATCTTACCACGATTGACAAAGGGGTTAGTTGGTGTTGACTGGGTTTGATGACCTCTTATGGGTGTAAGATTGGAGCTGAAACGGGTGTTTCTGGCACGCCAACCCTTTTCATGGTTTATCCCTGGATTCAAAATGCTCCCAACCTGGAATGCTCATGCACGTGCTCAGTTTTCATCCGAAAGGCCATTGTTTTGCTTCTGAAAGGTCTTTGTTGCACAGTAGAACACTAACACCTTTGTCCACTTCCAGAATAACTCTGCTCTGCTCAAAGAACACACTGTTATATTTTGCATTAGTGGCCGGCCGGCCACCAGTAAGGGCCTGCTGGCCATGGAAAATGGCCTGCCGGCCACTACTACACAGTTCATCCTGCTGCAACAAAGAACAAACAGAACATACGCAGGGTATTCTCAATGGTTTGTTTGCACAACTCACCCCTCTTCATTAACAAATCAAAGGAGTAGTAAACTTGGTCCACAAACCATCAACTCAAGCAATTTCATTGCATGATGGCTCATGAACCAAAGAGTGCAAGTTCAATAAATGCAACAAAATAACACACAAACCTCCTCCCTTTCATGAATTGATCAAGGGAAATGGTGACCTTAGAAACTTGAATCATTTCATCACTAATAAGTATGAAATGCCTCAAACTTCCATGTGTTCAATTAACGTCCGATTGAACACAACACTTTTTATTATCTTGCACCATTTTAGTCCCATTTTAATTACTTCATTTTAATTACCAACTATTCTTTAATTCTTTGAGTCCAAAAGGTGAAGAATAAGTCCTCTAATGGAAAGGAAACTCAAACCAAGTGTTGTCTTAGGCATGAAAGAGACATCATACCATTAGTAATGGACCTCCTAAGGGGTTAAATCATTAGGCATGACATCTCAATCTCATGCTTTAAACAATTAAGTTGTTTTAACCACTTTCAAAGCAAAACAAAAGCCAAGAAAAGAGGGAGGTTGTAGAGATGATTAAGAGTAATTACAAGTATGGAAAGCCATAAATAAATGCAATCAACTCAAAAAAGAAGGTGTCTAAGGCCTAGAACACAAAACTCATGAGGACAATTACACTATAAGCATACAAAACAAAGCTCAAATACAACCAACAGCCAAAAAAAGTGCTAAAATAGTCTAAAATAAGTCCTAAAACATGCTGGAATTAAGCTAACAATAGCTAGATTAATATGCTAAAACATAGCACAAGCTAAGCTAGTAAGCATGACAGAAGGAGGGAAGGCTAACCCCTCCAAATTTAGACTTCAAAACCTGATTTTGGTCACTGAAATAACTCTAAAAACTGTGTTTAAAACCTCAACAAAAAAAAAATAGTAAAAGGATTGGAAACACAAGGGTAAAGGCCTTCAAAACAAAGTGCAAAGAAGGGTAGAACACCCCTCAACCTTTAATGGCCTTAAAACCCAAGTTTCATCCCCAAAATACAGACGTTTTACAGCCCAAAAACACTTGGAAAAATGCAAGAAAAAGATTAGTAAAAGCAAGCAAATTGGCAAAGCCTTATACCTTTGAAGAGGAAAACCAATTCTAAGCAACAAAACCAAACAAATACACCATTTAGAGCTCCAACAAAGCTCAAGAATACCTCAGCTTAAAGATGAAGAGGTTTGGTTAAGAGTGTATAGGCAAAGGTTGAAGATTTGTAAGTAAAAGTATAGGAATTTGTTAGAGAGGGAGAGAGAGAATTGTAGATTCTAAAATTTTTCTAACCTTAAAACATGAGAGGGAGGCCCTCTATATATAGAAAACATGAATTCTCCTCAAGAACATCCAGCCCTACATGTGGGGACATATGCATACATCTGTGCAAACAGCTGGCACAGCTGTCACAAAATATTTACAAAAAAAACTGGTGGCCGAAAGGCCACATCAGTGGCCGGCAACTAAAAAGTGATGACCGGCAGCCCAATGCAGCACATCACAGCATTTATTACGACAACACCTCTCCGTCGGAACAGGACCCCCTTACCCTGAACAAGGTAAGCTACAGCATAGACTTTCGGCGAGGAGGTCAGGTCGGAAAGGACAGCGAAATGATTACTAAAGGATATAAGCAAACGTTGAAGACAAGAAGAAGGTTAAGCTTTTCTATATCTAATCTCTCACTCTACACTCTACTTCTCTTCCAAACTTGCTCGTCGGAGGGTTCACTGGGGGACTACCCCGTTTCCTGTTGAACTTGTTTGTAGGTTATTCGGTAGGCTTGATCATATGGACCTGGGCTTGAGGAGTTTGGACCAGTCCGATCCATTCACTGGGACAAACTACATCATCAATTTTGATATTTAAAAAATAGTTAAATTAGAAGTAGAATTAGTAACATAAAATTAAAAGTAATTCTAACTATTTAATTTTCTTTTATATTCATTTGAAAAATAAAAATATGTAGAAATAGAAATTATACAAAATTTATTAAAAAAATTCAATATAAATGTGTTGTACTTGGATTATCATATAATGATTTTATATGATATATATATATATATATATATATTAAATTATAATATTATAAAATAAACACTCTTAATTAAATTAAAATATCAATTATATAAAAAAAATTCAATAACGACTAACCAAGAAAGAATCACATAACGACATCTAAACTCAAAAAGAAAAAATATTAAAAACATCTAAATTATAGATACATCTCAATGTATGAAATGATTAATCATCTATAATATGATGTCAAAACATAATAAAACTTACTGTTCAACAATTGCAAAAGTAATTCAAGTAGTAAATCCAAATTCTAGAGGAGAGTATCATTGTTGTGCATGCTTTTTTTTCTTTTTTTTTTCCTGCGAGTTGTGATTATATAAAATAATCTAGAAGAAAAAATATAATTTCATATATAGAATCACCATAAAATTTAAATGAAAAAATTCATAATAAAGAATAATTTGGAATTGGTATTGGATGTAAAATAATGCATGATAAAATAAGGAAAAAACAAAAAAGAAAAAAAGAGGCAATTTAACATAAAAAAATAAAAAATCCTAACACCTATGAAAGAATTAAGGAAAAAAACGAGAAACACAAAATTAGTATTAAATTTATGGATTATCTCAATTTATTTACCATGAAAACTATATGGAAAAAAAATATTTGTCAAATAAAATCTATATAAAAAAAAGTAAAGTTAGTATAATTTAAATTAAGTTTGGGTTTATTTAGGATTCTATATGTAATTAAAAAATATATATGATGACGTGGCTTTATTAGAAAAAAATAAGCCCTTATAATGTGTCGCCAACATATAAGAAAAATATTATTTTTAATAATATATATATATATATATATAAGAGGAAATTAAATGATATGGTTATTTTTTAAATTTTCTTATAAAATATTTTATTTATAATGTAATTGTTATTAAGTTTTTTTAATCTAATCAAATATAGAAATAAATATTTTAAGAGTAATGTTAGAGATCCCATATAATTTACTAAATATGAAATCCACACACATGTAAATTTGATAGATCCTATCTCCATATAAAAAATTTAATAAAATATTTAATAGATGATTTAAAGGGTCCAGCTTGTCTCAAGTTGAGATCAAGACTAGACCCGTCTAGTCCGGTCCATGGGCCCATTGTTTGGGCTCGTTTTGATAATTCGAACCGTTCAATATGTAGAACTCGTCAAGTATTATATGCTTGTAAAAAATCACGTTGATCAGATATCGATAGTTATGCGATCAAATCAGTTTTGTATAAAAAAAAAAAAATGGACGGTGAAAAAATCAACGGTTGACAAATAACTATTTTGATCACATAGCTATCGATATCCGATCAACGTGATTTTTTACAAGCATATAGTACTCGACGAGTTTTACATATCAAACGGTTCAAATTATCAAAATGAGATATGTGGTGAGCCCCTGCAGGTCCAACAACACCTCCCAATTCGATTTTGGACTGGACCAAAGCCAAACGATAATATTTTTCATATTTTGATAGGATGATCATTCTATTCAATACTGCGTAGGTGTTCACATATTATTGGAAAGCCACATCATCGTATTGTAAGGTGGATGTTCCAAACTGGCGGTTGTATCAGTGTTTGAAGGAGTGTTAAGTGAAAAGTTATTGATAGCTTTTGAAGGAATTATACCTTATATTAATCATAATATATCGTATCATTTTATGTTTTTCATTATTTAATATAAATTTATAAATTTCACTAATCACAATATTTTTAAAGCACTGCGTAACAATATTTCAAAACATAATTTATCATATCATTTTATATTTTTCATTATTTAACATAAATTTATAAATTTTATTCATTTCACTAAGCACAATATTATTAAACCACTACGTAACAATATCTCAAAACCAATAACCTCTGGTTGGAAGTAAAGGAAGGATAAAACCTGTCTCCCCAATTGACGTAAGCTCCGAGCCGAAACAAACTGGTTCCTAATAACAATATGGAGAAACTATATATAGGTGGAAAAAAGAAAAAGGAAAAATTATAAATATATATAATGCATGTAAATGGAAGGGTATGAAAGTGTAAGTGTTACTAACATTTCTTTATATATATTGGTAATTTTTTTTTCTCTCCCTCACTTATTTTTTCCTAAAATAATAATGTTAGGTATTATGAAAAAGTATCATGAAAAGTCTTCATGAATATTCTTCACTTTTAGGTTAATTTATAGTATTTGTAGTATTTTATTGTATGTTATACAATCACTCTTAAATTAGTTTCATGATATTCTTTTCATGATGCGATCTCCATCAGACGGTTTAAAACATGTCAACGGTGGTTTAAATCAACGGCCACAAACAAATCACATTACATCTTCACATAGGTTAAACAGTCTGCTTTGGCCAATCAAATCACTCCACGTCCCATACGTTTCTCCAAAGATTTCTTGCACTCCTCTATCTTTATACATACGAACGATAAGAAAACCAAAAGTCACTGAAACGACTCGTCTCATCACTTTCACACCACTCATACTCTCTCTCCTCTCTCTCTCTAAATGCACTTTCTCTCTCTAAATTCGTTCTGTGGTCGCCGTCGGTACTGTTTGATTTGTCCAGATAAAGTCAGTGTGACATCTGTATGGCCTGCATGAGAGAGAGAGAGACAGAGAGAGAGAGAGAGAGAAGAGAGGTAGTGGACAGGAATAGATACAGATTGTGTGTGTTTTCTTGAACTTTTGGTTTCTGGGTTTGCTTTTTCTGTGATCTGACCAAACCCTAAAAAGGTTGTGGTCACTGTGGAGATGGTAGATTTGGAACATGTTTGTTGAGTTTTGATATCTTTCCTTAAATGGGTGTCTCTGTGAGCTATCAGATCTGACTTTTTATGGGTTATGCAGTTTGTTTGTGGGTTTGTTTGTTTGTTACTATTTCTTGGAAAAAAATACATTAAAGTTTTTTCTATTTTCCTTTGATTTTCGCTTTCATAATTTTTTTTTCTGGATCACCAAGAAATGACAGAAGAGAGTGAGCACATATGGGGGAAATTGGTATGTTCATATCATTACTCTTATGTGCTCACTTCTCTTTCTGTCATTTTCCAGTGCCAGAACTTGATGCCCTCTCGGCCCAAACTATCCCACTTTCTCTCTCTAAATCTTCTTATTTTCTCTCTCTACAACTCCTTTTTCTGGTTTGTGGGTCTGTGGTAGTTGAGAGAAACACCTGAGGAGAGAAACCATCAGTAGCTAGAAAAAATGAAGTAAAAGATGAGAGGGCTCTAGTGTCTATTTGCTTTGGCTTTTGCTTGTTTGAATTTAATTATTTAAATACATATTTAATTATATTTAGTAGCGTTAATAGCCTGAAAGCGTGACTTTTGATAGTTTTTCTTTGAGAAGCTAACCCTAATTACTGTGCTAATTTAACGGAAAACTGTATTATTATGGGACCATTACACAGCACGTTAGAGATGGAAATATAGGATGGTCCTCCACACAATACCTCTCTATATGTCTCTTTCTCTCTGTGATTCTTGCTGTTATCATCTATTGATTCTTTTTTTTATTCTTGCGCATGCTTTGTGTACTTCAGATTTTTGTTTCGATTCGACTTTGTTCTTCTCCTGAATCTAGCCACAATCTGGTAGGTTGTACTCTCATCGCACATGGGTGATAGATATAGTACTTCTCGTGATTTTGTTTATCACCTGAATCTCTAGTCCAAATCTTGTTGTTTTGTGATCTTAGTGCAAATGGGTTTTCGCCTGTTGTGTGAGTTTGTTTTGTTTTGCGTTTTTTATCTGAATCGTTTGTTTAACTGGCATGTGGGTTTGTTTTTATTCTCAATCTAAGACTCAATTCTGTTTCTTAGATGCCTGGATCTTATGAATCTTACATAAAATTTGAAGTTGATTTCTGAGAGTGAATATGTTTGATCTTGATGCACTTTGTTTCTTGTTTTGATGTGATGATGAGGGTTTAGTGTCTTTTTCGTATTAGGTCATGATATTTTGGTAGAAATGGAAGTTCTTCTCTTTTTTCATTGTTTTTGTTTTTGTTTCTGTTTTCTCTCCTGCTCCTTCGAGTGTTTTGCAGATCAGCCTGGGTGGGCGGAGGACAATTTTATAGAAGAAGATAAAACAGGTTTTTTGAGTCTATTTTTGGGATTTTTGGATCTATATTCTATCATTGTAATGGAACAAATATTTCATTCACTCGACATTCAACAACTTTTCTTACATAAAAATTCGCTTATATCATTTAGATCATATTAGATAATGACCTAATCTTGCTTTAATTATCAAATTGAGATGATTACCCTCAAGACAGATTTTTACAGTTTACTTCTTTGGTCACTTTAAGCTTAGTTTATGATTGAAGATCAGCTGGATAAGTCTGACCAAATAAGGGACATATGGTCCAAGCCGAATGAAGAAATGAAAATATACTCTGATCAAGCTTGATGGTGTAAGCCTTCCTGACTATGCTATAACGCAAGTAATTCAGTGCTCTTCTTAACTGGAAATGAAAGAGAGAAAAATTAAATTGTTCGGATCCTCATATATGAAATCACTTGTTTGTGATCTTAGCTGCTAAATGAGTCTACAATACCATTTTGTTGGGTCTTTGCATGATGTATTCTCCAATTTTTCTACAGGCATTCAATGGTTCTTTCTCCTTTTTGAAGGTTGATTTTTGTGTCTTCGCATGCGACGAAGCACGAAATAGCTGTACTTCATGGAGCATACAGATAGAAACCTTTGATTTGGTAATCATTTTTTGCCCTGCTTGTTCTAATGTTAATTGTTGTTTTAATTTTTTGTGTTGTTTATCTAAACTTTCATTTTATTGATTGTTTTAACTTTTCGAATTTGAGGCCCAACTCAACGCAGTAAACTATCACCTACTAAATGATGCTTTTATCTTTAACATCCTGGGGCTCAGAACATGAGATCCAACTATATAAAAATTTAAGAACTGGAATATTACTATAGCCAATACAATTCAGTGGTGCAAGTTCAATTATTTCAACAATTTGATACCTTATTATTTTGTGTATTGGTTAGCATGGAATGATAAGGCTAATTTTCTTTTATCAGACCGTATTCTTGGTATTGCGTATTTCTAGACAATGTTTGTAGATCGGTATATGTGAAAAGGGGTAGTGGGATAGTAGTTAATAGGATGCTTGGTATAAAGTTTATGGGGTTCTGTTTACATTTAATGTACCTTTTAAAAATAAAAATAGAAACATGCTCTACTGAAAGATAGTCATCAATTGATTTTGGGGTTGTGTTTATGAATTAATTGTATATACTTTTTAAAATTAGAAACATTCTATGCTGTAAGAAAATCATCAATTGTTACTACATAACAGTTTTAGGGCCTCTACTACTCCAATTATATACACTTGACACTTGTTTGACTCTGGAAGCACTGGGTTGGTGGCTATTTATGGACCAATAATGGAGTACATAATTTGATAGGTTATGTTTCTTGATTCTTATCTTAGACAAGTCATGCAATATTTGTTCCTTTCGAATATGTTTAGATCATGAATTTTGATAATAATTTGAATAGGAACAGATAAAAATATAAGACAAATGTGAATGAAAAATAAAGCTAATTTTTTTTTCTTGTTTTCTTTTTTCTTTCCAAATCTCTATGGAAATTCATAATTCAAATACAAGTTTCATATTTTAATATGGAAGAGTTTGCATTAAACTTTTCATGGAAGGCAATAGGTGACTAATTAATTGGAACCATGCACAAGTAATGTCGTGAACTCAATTATGATTAATGATTTATTGTTGCCTTCAAGTTTTGCTGTGAGATTACCTTTGGCAGTCTTTACCACAAATACTTTACTAGAAGCTCCTATATATGTTTACTTATTGGTTGCATTTGGCATTTTCTTTTATTTATTATATTTTATGTTTTTATATATTTTTTATTTGGATTGAAAACATTAATCCAACAAAATCATTAAGTGTTAAAACGATGTTTACTGTTTGCCTAAGATCATATTACATGGTGGTACATCTAGGCCATCATAATTAACGAATAAAACCATTTCATTTTGAGTGAAGTATATAATTAAACATTGTGTCATTTGGTTAGGTAAATTCTACTTTTTTTTTTTTTTTTGATCAGCAAAACAAAGAAGCTTCATTGATGAAAAATATAGTACAAAGTACAAGACAAAATATATCAATAAAGCAAGGCAAGTGTAAAAGTATCACAATAGGCTGAATTATCCCAATTAGGTTGGCACAAAAAAGCCCATCCTATCATTTGTTAGCACCCCCAGAGTTGGTGAGCAACCAACCGAAGAAACAAAAAAGAACACAAAAAACAGCCACCAACTACACAGATTTAGTGCAGCACCATTCCACATTCAAAAACAACTGCCAACAAGACCAATCCCCATACAAAATCAGAAAAACAAACAAGGCCTCAGTCCAAATGCTCCAGCCCAGAACTAACACCCATTGCAACAATTCAAATGCTGCTGCATAACCATTTCTACTTGTTAACTCACCAAGTATATGTATATATATATTATATGACATGGTTATGCACATGGTATTTCGAGTTGGGGTTCCAAGCATGGTTTTAAATCATGGTATTAGGACACGTAACAATATTGGTATTGAGGGTATCGAGTGATACATATCAGGGATCGGGTGTTGCGATTGTAAATTTATAAAATCATCAACCGCTTGATATGCATGTTTTTATCTTTTTCAGCTCAATTTTTTATTTTTATTTTTATTCAGCAAAGAAAATCTTTATTGATGAAGAAAACATACCAGTGTTGTTAGAAGTGCGCCTAGGCACAAGGTGCATCGAGGCTCAACCTGTGCGCCTGAACTGGTCACAGGCAAGGCGCGTTGAAGAAGTCGTGCGCCTTAGGTGCAACTGGAAGCAGGCGAGAGAGGCGCAAGGCTCACGCCAAGGCGCGACTGATGTTTACGCCCTACTCTTTGATCTAACGATCGTCTTTTCGTCTCTCGATTTCGATTCGACTTCGTGTCGTCTCTTCGTCTCTTGACTTCGATTCGACTTCGACTTGGACTGGGGGGCTACGACTTCGACTTCGACTTCCAGGTGCACTACACTCTCTCTCTCTTCCCATCTGCCTTCTTTGACTTCGATTGTCTGATCAGTCTTCATTTTATTTATTTTTTTTCCTTCTTCTTCTCTCTTCTTCGCTGATCATCTGCTCTGCTCTCTTTTTTCTTTTTCTTTTTTCTTAGTTATTTATGCCTTAGTCTCTGTTAAAACAAAAAAAACAAAAAAAAACAAATACAAAATAAATACAAAATATTTATGTCTTTGTCAATTAAATATTTTAACAAAATAAATATTTTTTAAAATAAATACAAAAAAATAAATACAAAATAAATATTTTTTAAAATAAATACAAAAAAATAAATACAAAATAAATATTTTTTTCTCAATTATTCTTTTTCTCAATTATTTATGCCTTTGTACTCTGTTAAAGAAATACAAAATAATTTTTTTTTTACAAATAATTAATTAACACACTGCTATTGGTCTCTGTTTTTTTTTACATTACATTATTTTCTAAATTGGAACATTACATTACATTAATTATTTTTTAAATTGACATGTTACATTACATTATTTTCCATTACATTGTATTAATTAATTTTTCTTTAATTAATACACTATGCATTACACAATTGTATTAATTAATTTTTCATTACATTACACAATTAATCACACTTATGAATGTGGATTATTATCGAAAAATCTAGAAATCCTCTAGATATTGATTTGTGATTGTGTATCAATTTTAAGTAATAAAACAATCCCAATCAAACAATCAAGACAAATCGACACAACGATTTTAACATAGAAAAACCACAATTGGACACCTCCAATTGTGATAAAAAAAATCACGGGCAACAGCCACAAAACAATCCACTAAGAAGATATAAAGGAATTACACAGGTATACTCTCAATTACCTAGCGAATCCACGCCCGAATTGAACCAACCTCTATGTGTCTCTTCCAACCCCATCTTCACCTCGGAATTGTCTTGACGATGAGCCACTTCAGAATCCACCAAAGTTTTAGGCTCAAATTCTTCAGAATCCACCGAAGAACAACTCTCTCTTTTATGTAGAAAAAACAAATAATCCTTTGATGTATAATCTTTAAATCATGAGTTGAATACTCAATCAAAACATCAAAGAAAATTAGCAAAATATCCCCAGATATAAACCTTAGAACCCAAAAAGAAGATCTGGAGAAGTTATACAAGTTTTGGGAGAAAAGCAACTACTTATAGAAATCCAAAGTAATCCTAGTTTTGGAAGGAAACCAATTCCTTATAGAAATCCAAGAATCTGTGTTCGCGCGGTCCGCTCAAGCGTGGGAATTCCCGCTTGAGTGGAGGCTTCAAAATTGTGTGATTCATGTAGGCTTCACGCTCGAGCGGAAGTTTCCACGCTCGAGCATCGAATCACACCATCCAGTACTTTTTCAGGCGAAACAGAGATGCTGTGAGCTTGTAATCCCCGCTCGAGCGTCCTTGTCCCCGCTTGAGCGGGACGACCAAAATTGGAAAATCTGGAAAACTTATCCTATTACAACCTCGGTTTTGATCCATGAAAATTGACAAAGGCACGATTCGGGTTGGATTCGCATCTAATAAACTCATAATCTCATTAAAATAAAAGGTGCGAAATACAACTGAAAGTAGTTTTGTCAAACGGGGTTGCCAAGAATAAAACCTAACAATCTTCCCCTTTGGCAATGCCGTGACAAAACACACCTAACAAATAAAATCCTAAACATCCTAACCCATAACAGCCAACAAAAGCCAACTTCTTTCTCAAGGTCACGATCTGCAAAACAGTTATTAGTGCCACAATCTCCCTTACCAAACAAATCGAAGTGTTCATACTAACAAACTCTTGCAATGATAAACCAAACTCCCTTACCAACCCAAATACTAAAAACAGTGAACAAGAATAAAAAGACAAAAAATACTATGGTGGAGCAAGTAAGGAATTTCTGATTTGTACCTTGAAACACATAAGATTATCCAAGAAGCACGATTACAAGAAAACACAATGTGCACAGTCTGTAGAAGATTCCTCATGAAAGAAGGTGATGCATTATGTGAAAAGTATAGATCCCATGAGAAAAGTGTGAGTGTGACTCTTGGAATTTGACAAACACTAGATTCAATCCTAGTAGTAATCTAATAGTTGGACCTCTGACAAGAGAATCTAAGCACAATAAAGGAAAGTCAAACCACTAGGAATCAAGGGATATTTAGTGAGTAAAGGCGGAAGCTCCCCCTCAATCAATGAATCTTTTCTCTTTTTTTTTCTTTATTTATTTCTTTTGCACAATTTTTCTTTCTTTTGCATATTTTGTCTTCTTCTCTTTCTTTTGCATATTTTGTCTTCTTCTTTTTCTTTTTCTTTTTCTTTTTCTTTTTCACACTCATTGGCGGCTGACACGCTCAAGAGTATGGAAATCGAACCAGAGAAGCATGGATATAATAAGGATGGCTTGGTTAGTGACTCTGAGGTAGCTTTTTCCTCATGGTTAGACTGCAAAGAATTGAGGGGAAAGCCGTGGAGGTGCAAAAAGATAGAAGATGGTTAAGAGACTCAACATCAACCAAGATATGCTAGTATAGGTCAATTCCTCTAGAAACACAAAAGATCAATGACAGAAGTCCATAGAAAAAAATAATCACTAAGGCGGAAGACTCCAAAATTTGCTAATCCAAGAGTGTGTACAGAATGAGATATACTAATCAAAAAACACACACTCCAAAACGAGTAATGACCATAGAAAGCACACATATATTAACATGTAATGGATATTCTCATGAATTCCAATATGCACCAAGGACCACTCAAAAATTTCAAGCTTGCAAAACCATACTAAGAAAATCTTTTGGGGTTTTTTTATTTTTTTTTATATTTTTTTGTTAACCAAAACAAGACAAAAAACGAACAAGCACACATTTTTTTTTTCCATTAAAAACAACACACAAAAACCCAAAAGCTAAAACAAATAAACAAATTAACACAAGTCACGTTTTCTCACCCAAATCGCTTTAGAATAAACAAAGTTGTGAGCATTGTGATTCTTGGATGATGTCTTGACGTTGTGATTCCCTTTGCTTTCAATGGGATCCTGTCACGACTTGGTTTCCAACATCCTATTTTTATGTCTAGGCAAATACACTCTCCCATACAACTTATAACAATAAGGACGAATATGACCAAGCATACCACAATGATGACAAATAAAAACAGGGTGTACCTTCTTTTCTTTTACCGTACCAACTTTAGGAAGATTGAGAAGTCCATTCTTATGTTGAATTTTTTGTTCTCCCTTTCCTTGAGTTCTTGTATCATGAGATGTTGATGCACTCTGTTTTTGTTCTTTCTTACCACCAAAGCCAATGCCACTCTTGTCAGAATAGATTTGTTGAAACCCAATGATATTGTCCAAAGTCTTTGATCCTTTGTTCCAAAGATCAATGGTAACCATGGCACACTTGAGTTCTTCCTCTTTCTTGATCATAAGTTCTTCTAAAGCAACTTGAGACATTTCGAGAGTTTCAATTTTTTTTTTCATATGTTGCATAGATTTGCTGAAGCTCATTCCTCTCTGTTTCACAAGTCAAGAGTTTTGCACAAAGAGCTTGTCGATCATTAGCTATCTTGAGGGCATCAAGCCTAGCCTCGGAAATCTCCTCCTTTAGTTTGACATTCTTACTTTCACATGCTGTGAGTTTCATAGTGAGTTTGTCATTCAATTTAGATAACTTAAGAGATTCCTTATACAACTTTTCATAAGCTTGCTCAAGCTCTTCATCATCACTTCTCGAGGATTCATTATTAGTGGTATTCTCAACCGGGCTCTTCGGATACTCTGTTCGTCCTTCAGTTTCAGAAGCCACCATGAAAGCAAGGAATTGTTTATGTCTTCCTTCACCTTGATCTTCATTGTCACTTTCATCTTCATCAGATTCTGATTCATCATCCCAAGTGATGGCGAGGGCGTTCTTCTTCCTCAAACGAGTAGGGCATTCTGAAGCAAAGTGGCCAAATCCTTGGCATTCATAGCATTGGTTCAGAGTTCCCTTGTATCTTTCCTTTCTCCTTCTTGGCTATAGAATTAATTTTGAGTTTATCTTTGCATTTAGATTTATGAGTATGAGTAGATTCCAAAAGATTAAGATTCTTTTTTAGAAAATATTTTTTAAATTGTTTAACAAAAGCAACCGTAATCTTAGAATCTATCTCACAATCCTCATCAGAATCCTCTCTAACTCTATGAGCACTACTAAAAGCAATATCTTTTTATTTCTTTTTGAAATTCCTATGTGCCTCATAAGTTTGGAGATTTCCAATCAACTGATCCAGCTTGAGGTTGTCAACATCTTGAGCCTCTTCAATAGCCGTAACTTTTGGTTGGAATCGATCGGGCAAGGATCTCAAAATTTTTTCCACAACTTTGGATTCTGGTATTTTTTCACCTAAATTGAAGCTGAAATTTACATTGTCACTCAACTTTGCATAAAATTCATCAAAGGTCTCACTATCATTCATTGAAAGGTTTTCGAAACTAGACGTGGGCCTTTGAAGTTTTAAGCGTTTAACTGAATGAGTGCCCTCATGAATAGTTTGTAAGATATCCCAAGCCTCTTTTGCGACTTCACAATTGCAAATTCGACTAAACTGTTCAGGTGTGACAGCACAAAAGAGAGAATTGATAGCTTTACTATTTCAGCTACTATTTTGGTAATCAATTGTGTCCCACTTTTCAATTGGTTTGAAGAAAGTTACGCCATCGACGGTAATTGTTGGTTCGGTCCACCCGTGCATGACAGATTGCCAAAATTTTTCATCTATAGATTTCAAAAATGATCTCATTTGAGCTTTCCAAAAAGAATAATTGGATCCGTCAAGTAGGGGTGGTCGAACCATAGAATTTCCCCCACGAATTGAATCCGTTATCACAAATCAAACAAGATCTCGTTCTAAAAGAATATTTTTTTAAAAAAATAGAACGACTTGCTATGATACCCAATTGAAAAATCTAG